TGGACTATAGAACAGTCAATAGTCTGGACTATAGAACAGTCAATAGTCTGGAGTATAGAACAGTCTATAGTCTGGATTATAGAACAGTCTATAGTCTGGACTATAGAACAGTCTATAGTCTGGACTATAGAACAGTCAATAGTATGGACTATAGAAAAGTCTATAGTCTTGACTATAGAACAGTCTATAGTCTGGACTATAGAACAGTCTATAGTCTGGACTATAGAACAGTCTATAGTCTGGACTATAGAACAGTCTATAGTCTGGACTATAGAACAGTCTATAGTCTGGACTATAGAACAGTCTATAGTCTGGACTATAGAACAGTCTATAGTCTGGACTATAGAACAGTCTATAGTCTGGACTATAGAACAGTCAATAGTCTGGAGTATAGAACAGTCAATAGTATGGACTATAGAAAAGTCTATAGTCTTGACTATAGAACAGTCTATATAGTCTGTATGGACTATAATTTAGTCTATACTATAGTTTATGGTCTAAAGTCTAGTCTGTAGTCTGGCTTATAGGCTCTTCTATAGTGTATGCCATACTGCTTCATAAGGAACTATTCTTTATTATTCTTTATACAATGACTCACTTCTTTATTAGGAATTATTTTAATTGCTGTATAAATTTCATTATATTTTTTCCACGTTATCAGTTTCTTCAACTTTGTTTTTTTTTTATTAAAGTGCAATAAAATTTATTCATAATGAAAAAGAGAAAAAAATTCTTACTATTTAAGTAAATAATTTGCAATTTGTTTTTAATACCCTGTTGTTTTTTTAAAGGAGCGATAACTTTTTATATAAAAATTGATTTTTGTTATAACAAAAAATATTGAAATTCAATAAAAGAAATAAAAAAAATATAAGAAATATTTTCTAAATTAAATAAAGAAAAAAATGTTAGCAAAAATTATAGAGATAAGAATGGGGTATAAATAAATTGTCAACTGATAGATAATAAAAAAAAAAAAAACAAAAAATAAAGGTAAATAATAGTATAGAGTGCAGCTATCAAATAAAGTCATATATAAAAATTACAAAAAAAAACTATAGATAAAATAAGAAATTTATATAAGTTTTGGGGTTAAAAATTTGTATTCAACTAAAATATAAAGAATTTTATTATAATTTAAAGATATTTGATTTTATTTCTTAATAAATTTTTGCTTATTTAATCATATTTCTTGAATTATAAAGGAATTCTTTGAAATTTGTTTGAAAACTAAAGAAAATAATGTGGCAACTCTTAAGTTTATGGCTTTGTTTTGATTATGAACAAAAACAAACAAAAATCAATCACACCCAACACTCTATCACTCTTTTCTTCTCTCTTTCACACATAAAGCATAAAAATTTGCAACTTTGTTTACTTATTATTGTTGTCACTCTAGCATAATGTCATTATGCTAAAGAAATGCAACTCTGTTTGTTTATTACTGTTGTCAATCTGTAGCTAAAACCCTATTAAATCACAAGACATAAACATTTACATTTAATAGATAATAAATAATCGGCCCAAGAGTTTTTTTATAAAAAAAAAAAAAAACAAAGAAATATTCATTTATATCTTTTTGTGGTTTTATAAAAACTTTATAAAAAATAAAAAATCCACAAAAAAATTAAAGAAAAAGAAACAGCAAAACTTTTAAACAAAGAATCTTAAATAATAAATTAAAAAACAATTTTTTATAATAACTTTAAAAGGCTTTAGAAAAAAATATTAAAAAACATTTAAAAAGAAATAAATATTTCATTTATTTTTGTTCATTTTTTTAAAACTACGGAAGTTGTCATTGTGACGCAATGTTGTGTTAAGTGATAACTTTTTGTTTCTTTATAATTTTTTGACCAAATATGTGTCAATAAACTTCAATTGTTTAAAATTTCCTAAAATGTGTTTAAGAGAAATAAAAATGCAGTTTTTAATGTCATGGCAGAGCTATAAAATAATGAATAACTAAAATTTCTTGATAACCAAAACCCCCTTCAATATAACAAACAAAGTTATTGAAATATTGTTATTTTTAAAAAATTTTGTATTTCCCTGCTATTTAAGATAAGAAAATGTCGAGTTTAATGTATAAATATATAAATTTGGGTCATAAAGCTTAATAAGACTACTATATTCCTTCGCTATTCAAAATGTTTCTTCTAACTTCTACCAAAAATCCTAAAAAATTTCTTAACTTTGTTTTAAAACCTCAAAAAACAACAACAAAAATCAATCATTAAAATGAAAGTGATCGTTAAACGAAAACAAGTTTTCTAAATGGTTATATAAACCAAATATAGTTTTTAAACATTAAAAAACAATTAAATAAAATAAAAATACGTTAAAAAATTTGTTTTTAAATTTGACTGCATACGTTAGAAACTTTAGCTAAATATCCATTGTTTAAATGAAACATAAAAAAGTTTTATCTTTAAATCTTAAAACCATTAATTTAAGATGTTTAACAAAGAAATATTTAATTGGTTGGTATGCCAAAGAAAAAAAACGAAATATAATCCGAACAACTAACTGTTGAAAGACGGTTTCATAGACGAAATTATTCTATTAAGTGAACTATAATAAGGACTATTACCAGACCATATTATGGGCGATAGTTTAGTCTAAAGTTTGGACTATAGTGTAGTACGTAATGTGGGCTATAATGCAATCTATAGTCATCACAGTCTATAGCCTAAACTATAGTCTAATCTATATTCAGAACTGTAGTCTAATCTATATTCTGAACTGTAGTCTAATCTATATTCGAAACTATATATATAGTCGGGACTATATTGTAGTCTATTGTCTGGACTATAGTGTAGTCTATATTCTGGACTATACACTATAGTCAGGACTATAGTGTAGTCCAGACTGTGTAGTCTATAGTCTGGACTATGATGTAGTCAATAGTCTGGACTATAGTGTAGTCTATTGTCTAGACTATAGTATAGTCTATAGTCTAGACTATAGTATAGTCTATAGTCTAGACTATAGTATTGTCTATAGTCTAGACTATAGTATAGTCTATAGTCTAGACTATAGTATTGTCTATAGCCTGAACTATAGTCTAATCTATATTCTGAACTATAGTCTGGACTATAGTGTAGTCTATAGTCTGGCCTTAGTGTAGTCTATATAGTCAAGTACATATAGTGTAGTCTATAGTCTGGACTATAGTGTAGTCTATAGTCTGGACTTAGTGTAGTCTATAGTCTAGACTTTAGTGTAGTCTATAGTCTGGACTATATTGTAGTCTATAGTCTGGACTTCGTTTAGTCTATAGTCTGAACTATAGTGTAGTCTATAGTCTGGAATATAGTATAGTCTATAGTCTGAACTATAGCGTAGTCTTAGTCTGGACTATAGTGCAATCTATAGTCTCGTCTATAGTGCAATCTATAGTCTGGGCTATAGTGCAATCTATAGTCTGGGCTAAAGTGCAATCTATAGTCTGGGCTGCAGTGTTATAGTAAGGACTAAAGACTAGAATGTAATCTAGATTGAAGACTATAGTCTGGACTATAGTGTAGTCTTAGTCTGAACCATAGCTTAGTTCATAGTCTGGACTACAGCTGGATCAATGTGATTACTCTAGCCTAACATATAGTCTGAACTAGTCTAGTCTATAATCTGAACTACAGCCCAGTCTACTGACTTTTAGTCTAGTATGTAGTCTGATCTATAGTATAGTCTATACTCTAATCTATAGTCTAGTCTACAGTCTAATCTATAGTTCAGTATATAGTCCAGTATATAGTCTAGTCTATAGTCTAGTCTATAGTCTGATCTATAGTCTAATCTATATTCTAGAACATAGAACATTTATTTTCTAGTCTATGGTCTAGTCTATAGTCTAGTCTATAGTCAAGTCTATAGTCTAGTCTATATAGTATATAGTGAAGTCTATAGTCAATTCTATAGTGTAGTTTACGGTCTAGTCTAAAGTCTGAGATATAGTCTAGTCTAGACTGTAGTATATAGTCTAGTTTATAATCTAGTCTGTAGTCTGAACTATAGTCTAGTCTGCAATCTGAACTATGGAATATAGTATAGAATATAGTCTAGTCTATAGGCTAGTTTATAGTCTAGTCTATAGTCTAGTCAGTAGTCTAGTCCATAGTCTAGTATATAGTCTAGTCTATAGTCTAGTTTATAGTCTAGTCTATAGTCTAGTTTATAGTCTAGTCTGTCGACTAGTCTATAGTCTAGTATATAATCTAGTCTGTAGTCTAATCTATACTCTAGTGTATAGTCTAGTCTACAGTCTAGTTTAATCTATAGTCTAGTGTATAGTCTAGTCTACAGTCTAGTCTATAGTTTAGTTTATAGTATAGTCTAGTGTATAGTCTAGTTTATAGTCTAGTCTATAGTCTAGTTTATAGTCTAGTCTATGGTTTAGTTTAGAGTCTAGTTTATAGTGTAGTTTATCTATAGTCTAGTGGACAGTTAGTATTGATTCTGATATTCCCATTAGATATCCGATAGTACCTAAGGCAATTTGTTGCCCTATTTATGGCTGATATTTCGGTTGGCCAATTATGCAGCTTTGATTTTTTTACTTTTTCCGATTTTTTCACTGATTTTATTTACTTTTTAAACACTTTGAAATTGATTTTATAATATTGTCGATTTTGCACTTTGAAATATTATCGAGAGAGAAATCTTTCAAATTTTGTTTAATATTATTGAAACATATTTGACATCACTGTTAACCAGTTTAAGACTGTGTTAACAATTACTCTATTTCTGTATTGCACTGTTACACTATTAGCGTTTTCTTGTAGGTTATGAATGATCTTTAGAATTTTTCTAGTTTACAATAAAATGTTTTGGAATGTTGCCATTTTTTATACTTTCTTTTCATTTACACTTTTTTTCTTCAAAATTTTAACTATTCATAAAGAAATCTTTTTGTTGATTTCTATGTTTTGATGTCAAGATCACTTTCACTTTCTTTTTGAAGCGTTTTCAAGATGAAGTTTAAGTTTACAACTACTTACCTTTGGCAATTCTCTTTTGCGTCTAAAAAAACACCATCATTTTCTATTAATCGGGAACCTCTTTACGATTTGAAAAATTAAACACCATAGAGGTATTTTCGGCAGGTGCAGCTGGTGGTGCCTGGCGTCGTTTACGCATGGCCCACAATGGACTATTTGTAGCACTTATAACGGAATCAACATCGGAATAGCCGGTAGTAGAAGCTGTTGCAGCGTTTGGGGCTGTTGATTTAATCACATGATGTTCAAGACTAGCTGAGGGCGAGGAGGTGGAGGAGGATGTATTATGGGCTGTTGCAGTAGGAGAAGTTTGATGTGTAGAATTGGTGGATTTTTTCAAATCATTTATGCGATTCTTTTCTATTTCGCGTGAAGTAAGATTGGTGTTATTAGGGGAGGAATGTTTTAAAGTTTCCATAGTGGAATCGTTGATTTTTTGCTGTTGTTGTTGCTGCTGCTGCTGTTGGGTATTGAGTAAAGGACGTATAACACCTATTTGTTTGCCCGTATTAAGGGCTGTAGAGGAGTTTGTGGAAGAGGAATTGGAGGTGGAGGAAGAGGGTGAATTTGTTGTTGTTGTTGTATTGAATTTAAATTGTTGTGTATAACCCGCTTTTGCTATATTATCGAGTGCCGTGCGCGTTATACGTTTTGAGGTTGTTAATTTCAAATCGCCCGTATCGTGATCGATGTCTTCACCACCATCACTTAAATCACTACTACTGGGAGGAGGCGTTGAGGCGTCGTCTACGTTGTTGTCGCCGTTTTCTTCTTTGTCCGTCTTCTTTGTTAAACAGTCATAATTATTAACTGTTGCTTCTTCGTTTTTCATAGCGATCGTATTGTTGCTGCTGTTGCTTGAAATTGTAGTTGCTGTAGTTGTAGTAGCTTCAGTATTATTTGATTTTTTATTAT